AAATAAATAAATAAATAAATAAATAAATAAATAAATAAATAAATAAAATCATTTTTAAAAAGAAAAAGAAAAGATCTGGGAGAAATAAAAACATTAAAGAAAATACTGGAAAAGTGGTCAATTGGGAGAGTCAAATGGCACCAAGGTACACTCCATTCACTTCACTTCAACAAGCCGTGGCCTGAATGTTGCCCTCCAAAATTCATACACTGACATCTAATCCCCAAAGTGCTAGATTGAGAGCTGGGGTCTGTGGGATTGACTGGGTCATGGGATGAAACCCTAACCCTGCCCCCATACACAGAGCATAGCAAAGCCACCAGGGAGAAGAGGCCCTCACCAGACAGCAATCTGCCACCTGCCTCTCTAGACTCCAGAACTGAGAGTCAGACATGACTATTTATAAGTCACTCGCGCTAGCGTGTTCTGTCGCAGCGTGAATCAACTAAAGTGAAGATGTATTAATTTTTCCACTTTACACTACATTTTAATGATCTTCACCACAAATTCTGTAACCACAGACCAAATGCACGTTCCTGAACTTTATAGTCATAAATGGCTTGGAGACGTGGTTCTGAGTGCTGCCCCCTGATCAGTCAGGGGCACCATACCTGGGCGCCAGTCAGATGGGCAGACACTGAGGCCATACCCCCAAGCTTACAGAAGAGGGCTGAAATAAGGAAACCTCAGTGCTACTTAAACCTTGAGGAGCACGGGTCTACAGCCAGGTTTCCCTCAGTTGAACCCTCAGTGTTAGGCCTCAAATCTGGGACTAAGGGCTAACTGAGGTGCCTGTTAACATCCCAAAGCCGATGTTGGCTACCGGGATCTCCCAGCATCCCTCAGTCTCCACCTGTTACAGGGTCCTCCTGGCTGGCATACCCCAACCCTACCGTAAACTCCTCCAGACTGCGCCTCCCTTCCCTCAGCTGCTCTCCCCTACATAGCTTTGGCCATTTTGGCTACCACCCTTTTTTTGGCCTCTTGCCCTCCAGGCTGCTGTTCCTGGTTCCCTATCTCCCTTTTCCTCACCCCTGCCTTCTCTCCTCTCATGGCCAGCTCAGCTGCCAGTCAGGTTCAGTCTGGACCCTTCCAGATGCCTGTCTATGCTCTCCCTCATGTCCACAATGAGCCTTCTCCTCCACCATACCTAGGAGCAGCCGTGTCCTCTTTTGTTTCTTTTCTTCATTCACTCAGTACACAAATGCAAACACCTTCCTGAGACTTTCAAGCCGCTCTACCGAACGGAAACACACCTTTTGGGCTGCATTATTACAGCCTTTCAGCAGGAGCCGAGGTGCTTCAGTAAGGAAGAAAACTGCTCTGGAGAATCTTCAGGCCCTTTGTAGAGGCCAGAGGGCTGTCATAATCCGGAGCTTCGGGAATAGACTCCCTGCTGGGGAGAAGCTGGCCCTCCACACTGACAACTTGTTAACTGAGGGTGTGAGGATGGTAACTCAAAGCCATCTGTGGCCACCCCTTCCCTCGAACAATCACATCCCAGCATGTTGACTTAAAAGTCAGTAGTGTTCACATTTACCTGTTTGGTGATCGTCTTGGCCAACGTCTTCTGTCAGATTCTGTAAGAAATACGATCGTTAACACCAAGAAATCTCATACCCTGTGCTAACACGAAAACTCAGTATTTTCATAAGCAAGTGATAGCCACAGTGTAAATTCTTTTAGCAAACGCACTTGCACAAAAGGGCTGCTTCAAAGCTAGTGGCTGTATCTTTAAAGACTGACTTACTAGCTTGTTAAGGGTATGGTAGATCTTATGAATGTTTGCCAGTGTTGAGAGATGAGAGTTCAGCTGAAAGTCTTTAAAAGAAAAGGGAAAAAAAAGAAATCAGTGTTAGCTGTTTCTCAGACAGCAAGAAATTTCAAAAGCTCAAAAGTAAACATAAACAGTTGTTTTAGTGGCTCGACTAACAGGATACGTACAGGTAAACAACATGTGTCTACTGACCCCAGGAATCATTCTGAAGATAAGGTCAATTCTCCAACCAAATGCTACAAGTCATGGGAGTTCCTGTCACCTCTAACGTAAAAAGAAAATTCTGCAGTGGCTGTGAAATCCTGCCAGCAGCCAACCTGCATTCCCTAGGAGGATATAAAGAATGTCAGGAATTCGAACAATCACGAAAAGAGAAGACTCCAAACCTCAGAGCAAATAGCTTGCTTTCCCATCCTTCCCCAGGATTTTGGTATGATGAGCACGCTCCTAGCCAGAAAATGACAGAACGCCGTCCCGGTGTCCAGCCCTTTACAACCTTACAATTGATTTCTTCTGTGGCTGGTTCTGCAACCCTGCAGCTCCCCTTAAACATGCAGCTAAAGAACTGCCGTATGGATTGTTGGTCCCGGAGTGCAGGGTACCGTGCAGTTACCGGCAGGCCCTGCAACAGTGGAGAATGCTACGGATTCAAAAGCTCTACTCCTGGGGAGGCAGCTCAGGGCAGGGGGCACACGGCCAGCACCTCTACCCGCTTCAGCACTGTACGCTGAGTGAGGCCTGAGAGACTCCGGAGGCTGCTCCACCCCGGAACCTTGCACGGCACAACTGCAGTATGCCACCAGGCTTTGGAATTTCCCACCTCAAGTGTCCTCAGAGCTGAGGATTCAGCTGGGTGGTAAGAGTCCTAACCCAGCATGCGAGAAAGCCCTCGGTCAATCCCCAGCACCACACACTCGCAGACACGTTTTTATAAAGTTTGCTCAGGTACACATATGCAGGCTATACAAAGGCACTGAAAAGTTATTAATAATTCTGTATTTGGGAAAGCATCAGTACTTTCATAAATACCAGGATTTGCATTAATTTTCCTTCTTTCCTATCACAAATGTTAGACTGAAAGTGGCCTAGAAAAGACACTCTCTGCTCACACCATTCCAGGGAGAGGAAGGAAGTCACTGCCCTGAGCTACCACCACTTGGGACATGCACCAGATCGGGAGAACAGACCCTGCGAGCTGTCTGCCCTGGACCCTCCGGGGCGCTGCTCTCAATCTGTCAGAAAGGCTCACTGGCACTAGGAATCCATTCACCGGCAGCCCTGCAGGGCCAGGGGCCAGGCACAAGATGTCCCTGCCCTTCACAGGTGGGCACGGGAACTGATGACACGTGTGTCCACGTGAACTGCTCTAGCAGTCGGTGCCATCTAGACCCAGAGCTGGCTGAGTGCCAGCCAGAGCAGGGCTTCAGCCTCTACACAGGCCTTAAAGTAGACCCCTGCTCCCCTAAAATCCCAGTGCATTGGGGGAGGGGAGGCGAGCACATTGTGTTCAAGACCCAATCTTAAAAACCCAAACAAACAAAAGCTAATACCCCTGTTGATTGTTTCCACCTGAATATTCTAGCCACCCCTGAGTTTACATAAACAGCACAGGATCTATCTAGATGACCCACTTAGCACAACCGCAAGGAACAGTTCAGAAAAGCACACAGGTGACAATGTGCATGTCTGTGCACACTGTCCACACTTCCTCATGTTTATATTTAATAAAATGGACGGGGGTCTCCAAGCCAGAGACAATGGTCCTCACTTGGCCTCTAAGAGTCCGTGAGGGAGCTGAAATACACAGCTCCCACACCCTTCCGCAGCTGCTACCAAACCACAGCCATCTTAGGATTCTGTTTAGAAACACGAGATCAGGCCGATACATTCCATTATCACTTTGCTCCCCACCCCCACCCTAAACCAAAGCTAAGACTGGCCGGTCTTGCCACTGGGGAAAACAGAAAGGCTATGTCAAAGTCTAGAATATGTGTAGCATGCGTCCCTATGACCACCATATGTCATTTCACTAGCATTCGGTTTAGATCATGCTAGACTTTGCATAAGAGTATCAAAACACCTGAGCAGGGGGCCTGGGTCTTCTCCATGTATGGCCCTCGGTTGGTGTAGCAGTCTCCACAAACCGAGATTTGTTGGCTCTGTTTATCTTCTTGGAGCTCCTGTCCCCTCCAGGTCCTTCCATCCCCCAATCTTCCATAAGACTCCCTGTGCTCTGCCCAAAGTTTGGCTGTGAGTCTCAGTATCTGCTTCAATTCCTTAGTCGATGGAGTCTTTCAGAGGACATCTGTGGTAGGCTCCTGTCCTGTTCCCTCTCTTCAACTACTTCCGGTGTCTATTCTATTTGCCATTCTGCATGAGAATGAAGCACCTGCCCTAGGGTGCTCCTTGTTACTTGCCTTATTTAGCTCTGTATTATGTGGCTAATATCCACTTATAAGTGAGTATATACCATGCTTGTCTTCCTGGTTCTAGGTTGCCTCACTCAGGATGATCTTTTCCAGATCCATCCATTTGCCTGAAAATTGTCCTTGTTTTCAATGGCTGAATAGTATTCAAGGTCCCCTGCTCAGATGTAGCCTATAGGCAGCTGTCTCCATGTGGGTTTCCTAATAAAGGGAGAAGGGGCCATCTTTGATATGGACTCTATTGCCTGCTCCTCAATCACTTCCCCCTGGCAGGTCAGCCTTGCCAGGCCACAGAGAAAGATGATGCAGCCAGTCCTGATGAGACCTGATAGGCTGGGGTCAGTTGGTAGAGAAGGCAGACTCCCCCTTTCTGAGCACAGGGAAAGAAAGGGTGAAGGAGGGAGGGGACCAGGATGAGACAAGGG